GGGAGTTGAAGTCCACTCATCTTAAAGTGGCCAAGTTTGGACAACACTGACCTAAAGCTTTGAAAGAGGCCTTTCAGAGTGCATTAGCAAGACGAAGCGGCTCTCTTCAAGGTATTAAAGCAGCCATATCCTTTTCAAGAGTTGCGCAACTGTTGGAACATGGTCCAGGTTGTCTCCGTATGCCAACCCTGACAACTCTTCTACTGGGTCTGCCTGTGAAGCAAATCAGCAGCGCACAGACAGATGTGCAGAGGCAGCCAAGGATAACCTTTGATGTGGCCACGCAAGGTTTGCAAAGGACGTGGCTGTTTGGCACATGAAACTGATGTATTTCAGTTCACACAGCCCGGAAGACCCACACCAGCCATCGTATGCCGCCCGTGAAAGCCTTCGACAATACATTGATGTATTTTGCTTCAATGCATGAGCTTTGAAAGCCCCTCTATCAAAGGCTTTGCGCAACCTTAGCATCTACAGCAGCCAAAATTACTAGCAGAAATGGTTAATAATCTTCAGCATCTTTTTCAGTCACCCATGACAGCTACAAAAAATCAACTTAGCACAGGGCTTCGGGACAGAGGGGGAGGACACAAATCTCTGATGCAAATTCCTCCACCCAGCTCTACGGAAGGAAAGAGATAATAGCTTTATCATGCCTTTGCCTCCATGGCTAATAACTGTTCTAGGAATGGATCTGCATCAGGGAGTCATTACAGGCGGGAAGGATAACCCCTCTCCCTTCTATTGAACAAAATTCGTCCCCCAAGGCCCATAGCTCCCCTTAGCAAAAGAACACAACGGTGCAATATTGGAAGATGAATTTCACACGTATCCAATATCTCATCTACTCTTGCTTAAGGACATTACTAATAACATCCGAAGCTTACGCCATAATAAATCTCTTTTTGTTTACCGTGATATGGCTTAATGTGGTCATTGACTTCATATGAACTGAATCCCCCATAAGCTCCTGGAAACAAACATTTTTAAAAATGAGAAGTGCCATCTGATTCAAGGAAGTCCAATCTGATTCAAGGAAGCATTTTACGTGGTGTTACTCTTTACAGCACTTTCTGTACTGTTAAACAGTCTACCTTGGTCTGAACCCAACAGCTCTAGAGTTTCTACCTGCAATTGCCCTGGTTTGGTATCTGGGACTTTTAATGAAGTTGGTGTTCCATTCTATCTGTGAGCTTTAGTTAATTTCTCTTTCCTTCAATGAACTGATGAAATGGCAATCGACTGAACGCTACTTTTAATTCATGAATTAATTGTCTGCCTTTGTGTCTGGGAAGAGAATGATTTCTCTGAAGTAGCAAGCGTGATTTCATTTTGAGATGAAATCCGAATCGCGTAACAGCGCATTATCACCGCAGAAGAGACACACATCCTGCGTATGTGGAAGAAGGAAAAGTGACATCTGAAAGATGGCCCTGCCATCTGCAGTTAACAGTGTCTGTCTATGCGTGTCTGTACTTCACTTGATTAATCTGGGGCAGATTAACCTTAACCTTTTTACTTAATTGAAAGTGTTTAAATCCATTACTTCACCAATCAATACAGTAGGTGTTGAAGGCTAATTCTGCAAGGTATGGAAGCTAAGACCGTTGCTGTTGTATAACCATTGAAATGCGAACAGGACATTTCTGCATTCATCAACGCAATTAAGCTTTTAAATACTTACCATGGAGAACCGTATATCCTGAAGCCTCTCACCGTTACTTCTGAATCTTGCAGGTATATGCAGTTTGTTAAGAGAGACTGTACATTTTCGTAACTTTCTGGCTTCAGTTTAGATACAGAGGGAAAATAATAAAAGTCCTGCTTGATTAAGTCCGCCATGAACTCTTGATCAAATGTCAGCTCGTGATTGCCTGCTATCACAATCTTGTATTCATATGGTAGGCTACCTAAAAGGGAGGAAGACAAAAACAGAAACTTGTTCAGTGTCGTATTTGTGTTTTAAAAAATGACATAAAACTTAAAATGACATAAAACCCTAAAAAAAAGACATAAAACATTTTTAAAAAATTGCAATGTGGTATTTGATGGAATGACAACTTCCAGAACAGGTGCTCTATCCAGCCAAGAAATTCTAGGAATTGTAACTTCAATTCCTTTATTCTAAATTACGCTGAAGATGTATCTGGACATTCCAAAGAAGGTCTAAGGATGAAACGCACCATACTTGGACATCTGAATCGTGCTGGCCAAACTAGGCAATTCAAACTGCGACTATTTTGCAAGTGTATGTCTATGCTTTGCATTTATATCCTGCTTTTTCTCTTGAGAACTCACGGGGGAGGTTATGGGTATCCCTGTTCATTTTATTCCTGGAAGGCTGGACTGAGAGTGTGAATGGCCCCAAATAGCTTGGGGGCTGAGTCAGTACAAGCCTGGGTCTTCCTCGTCTAAGTCCAGCAGTTTCACCACTTTACACTTGAACTCTTGTACAACGGGCCAAGCTAAAGTCATTGGGTTGGCCGTGGGTTTCTAAATACAGGGTTGCCCTACTTCACCCTTTCCAGACAACAATTCTTAAGACTCCCAGAGAGCTAACAGCCCTGCTGGCTGATCTTCCTGCAAGCGGCAATCTTAACCCATCTGCAGAATACTAGCTTGTGAAATGCTAGTTTTAATTGGCAGAAAAGAGGGAATAGAGATTGGATTTGAAATGCAAAAGGATATGTTCCTGCAGCTTTTCCCACAAAGTACTTTCCTTCTGAGCTAACGATGCTAGTAAAGATCCTGCAGCAGGGGCAGGAAAGTTTCCACTTTCCTTACTCACACACTCCAAGTTCTAATAAAATACCGGCATGCTCTTCCAGTGTGGTTGAGAAGGTTCTGTGGAACCACAACATCTAGCTTACTCCAAAAATTGAAAGTAAAGGGAGGACAACTACATTTACTGGCATATACTTGTATGGAAGGAAAGGGTCTGACTACCCATGGAAAGATATAGATTGCAGGTCCTCCATTCCCCCCTGTGTTTTTAAATCTTCCCCCAGTTCGGATAGGAATTTACAGCCCAGCAGAGATCGTTGGGGGGGGGGGGGGTTTGCCTGCACGTGGAAAGGGTCCTGAAGGGAAAGAACAGGGAGACCAAACTGCTAGTAACCCGCCTGGTTCAAGGGCCCGGTCACCCCACATGCCCATTTTTGTTAAGATAACTTTTGGTTTGGGGTAGAGGAAAAAGCAGAACATACAAAAATGTAAAGGGTTTTTTTTAATCAAACCATTTTTCTTCATTTCTGTGTTAAAGAGTCACATTTTGTGAGATGGTTGGCTATATAAATGGGATGAAATAAATAAATAAAAATAAAGACCTATTTTTCTACCAAGAGTTTAAAAAAAAAATCCCCCTCCCAAATCTTACGAAAAGCTGATATTTTATAGGAATCTTAGTATATTGCATTTTGAAATCAGAGTTAATAAACCTAGGTAATAAGATCGGGGGTATCATCTTAATTAATTAGATGATAAATTTAAATATTAATTTAAAACTTTAAATTGATTAAAGATGATTTGCAGCAAGTGATTTCTTCACTGCAAATCATCATGTTCCTTTTTGAGATACACTGAAGTTATTTTGCGGACCTCTTAAATTTAAGCTATGCTGTCATCATCCCACAAATTTTCACATATGGCTAGGACACGGGTTTTGAGCTGCTATTCTTAAATCTCTGACATATGTAAAAAGGTGTGCTAAATTTATGTTAATAATTCTACTCCCATTGTCATTTCTAAATGTTTTTCAGCCAACTAAGAATCCATCCATCAAACCAAATTAGTTTAAGCTAGCTATTGTTGTTGCTTCAGTGAATGTGTTTATGGGTGTTATTTAAATAAATTCATCTAAACATAAGTCACATTTATTATAGTGGCAGCTACAGTCACTATGGTGGTTACGGATATGTCAGGTTTATCAATTAACACCTCTGGTTCTGATGAGTTTGCAAAATAGTTTTTTCTAGTCTTTCCCACACTCATTAGTAACTTGGAAAATCTCCTTTTCACATGGAGAATCATGTGAATATTTCGCCTTACCAAAATATTTGGCCACAATTTTTCAAATAAGCAGATCTGTACAGTTAATAGTAATTTTGCAGAGTTTATATATATTCAGATGTGCCAACAGATCTATGTTTGACTTTCCTCTTAGGTACAACCAAACATCACTGGTAGAACATATGTTTTGCACCCACAAAAGTTCACATTCATTCTGTTACATCCACTAGTTCAAAGGAAAGGGACTGATTTGGGCACTACTCTCTCCCCTTAGAAAAAGAGTTAAGACTTTCTTCAGCCAGATACTCTTAACTCATTTTTATCATTATTTTTATAATAGTGTTTACATTATGTTTTATCTTGCTTTGCATCAGACACTTAGCGCCTTTCTCACTCTCGCTGAATAGAAAAGATGAATACTAATAAAATTATTGTTACTGTCTTTCATAATTATAATTTGAGTCAAGACAAGGTAGGGTCCTATGCTTCTGAGGGCTCATCCACAGATTCTCCTTGTTCAGGGGTGAGATCAGCCAACTAACTGTTTCTAGAAGACAATAATGTATAATGCTGTCCTCAACTGGTTCCTGTCCTTGGAGAAGACAACCTCTGCCTCTCTTTTCTTGTTCTGTGTCAAAAATAGTATGTTCTGACTTCTGCGGGCACAAGCAGTGTGAAAGGACTCTTTCCCACAGTGGGTTGGTGAAACAACAGCACTTTTTTTACAACTTTACCTTTAGACTGGTGGAAAAGTAGCCTTCCCTCTTCTTCTACCTACATGAAATGGACAAGAGTTCATCCAGTTTCTCCTTCCATGCCAAGTGATAGGAAGGTTAAACGGTGGTTTCTTTCTTTTTGAATCGTCTACACGTGGATGTTCTAGACTCAAAGTGTCCAATGCAAAGGGGAGTTAATGGAAGGGGGCTCATACAAACATTTATCAATGAAAACCTCCATCTCAAAGACCCACCCATGGAAAGGAAAGCCATTGATGCTTGCCTTCCCAGCATGGGTGGGAAGGGCAAAGAAGCAGGTGAAACTTCCAATCAGGGCCATGGGAACCACCATCCAGGTAGAATGCTTGGCCAATGCTGAGGAATGGATTAAAATCTAGACAAGAGTTTCACAAGCTGTGAAATTTCCATCTGGTGTCAGCGAGAGAAACAAACAGCTTAAGACTGCAGTGCAGAAGAGCCTTACTGGAAATGTATGAGGAGGCCTTTCAAGAGGCCCCAAAAAAATCCTTCTACAGGGGCAAGCTAAATGAAATCTATCCATCACATAGAAGTTAATGGGAAGAAGCTGCATGAATACCCCAAAGATGTCTAGGGAAAACTAAACACAGGCTACTCTAATACAAGCGGGTTGGTGGAGTGCAGCCATCTTAATACGACGTGAAATCAGGCAAAGGGCTTTTGCTATTTCACAGAACTTCAGAGGATGCATTTACAAGGGAAGTGGCTTCTCTACTCGGATCCAAGAAAGAAAAAGTTCAGAAGTTTGATTCATCTGCTCTTGCCATCACAAGAGTCCCTGGTTTGCCACGGCAGCTGTTTTCAGTTTAAGATGATCGCACCGTGGGGAAGGGAGGTGGCTGCCTCTGATCTATTGGCCACCGTTCTGCACTGGAAATACAATTTTCACATGACTCTGTAGTTGCAATATTGACTATACCAGTGTTGTCCAAACTTGGCCACTTTAAGATGAGTGGACTTCAACTCCCAGAATTGCCCCCTCCCCCCCCCCCGTCCGGGGTGGGGCCTGGTGTTTGGGTTGCCACCCTATTAAACGGGGCGCAGGGCAGAAAAAGCCAA